CTGTGGAGGCTGGCGTTGGGGGGAGATTGCTCTGTCCTGTTCTCCCTGTGGCAATGGCAGTTGGGCAAGGCTATCTAGGCTGTGGTGACAGGAGTCTGGGATGCTGGTGTTTGCTCCACCTGGGTCTGGGTGCAATGGTGGCTGGTGGCTAATGGGTCCCTGCCAGAGCATCCTGAGATATGGCAGGTGGGAGTTGTGGGGGTGGGGCCGCTGGCTGAAAGGCAGCTTGTGGGCCATGAGGGTGGGACTTTAGAGCCACCGGGGAGTGTAGGAGCCAAGTCTCCCACCCCCCAGTGTTGCATGGTAGTGAAGGAGCCTGTGGGGTCCTTGCTGTGGGGCTGGGCAGCAGAGTGGGCGCCTCAAGGGTGGGGCTGAGGGGCCAGGCAGCATTGTGGGTTTCCATGGGGTCCAGTTGCAGTGCAGGAGCTGCTTGTGTGTGGGGTTGGGATGTTAGGTGACTGTGCAGTTGTGGGGCTGGAGCTGTGGGGTCAGAGCCGTGGGCGTGGCAGGAACCTTAGGGGCAGATTGTGGGTCCTGCCGTGGGTCTGGGCCATAGTGCCGAGTGGCAGCATGCAAGGCTGGGCCTCTGGGCATTTTGTTTCTCTTCCTGACCACCTGCCCTGAGGCAGCCTCCTGCGGCTTCTTGTATTATGTTGGCCCCTCTCCCCACTCTGTTCTGCTTGAATCCCCTGTTGGGTAGGGGATTGGCACTGACTCCTAGTCATAGGGCATGTGAGAGCAGCTACTCTCCCTGCTTCCTCCCCTTCCTGAGGGGGTGATGTGGAGGCAGATCCAGCAAAGCTGAGCTCTGTGTAGACCAGGCATTCTAGACCTGAGAGCTTAGAGTAGCATTAGTTGCAGTAAACTGGAATTGTGCCTGTTCTCTGGTGCATTGTCGCTGAACAGACTCCAGACAGTTCCCTGGTCAGTCCGGGAGATCTGCAATGGTAGTGGGAGCCCATTACAGCTCCCGTTGCAGTGTCTGTGGGGGTAACATGGAGCCCCAAGTCTCTCTCCCCTGTTCTTTCCCTTCTTTCCTTTCCCACGTGAAGATGTCTCCCCAATGTACTTTCCCCTTCCCAATCTCCCCGAATGGATTGCCCTGTCACCCTCTCCTTTGCTCCAAGTCTCTCATGTCACTTCTCTGATGATTCACAGTGCTCTCTCCAAGAATGCCCATCCATAGGTGGCATCCACTTGCAACTTTGGATCCTCTCCTTGAGAGTGGCATGCACAGACTGCTTCCAGTCCTTCTTCTTGCCTGCTTCTCCTTGATAGATCATTTCTTTTTAGTATAGAATAATATTCCTTTGGATGTGCCATGGTTTATTTATCCATTCACTGACTGAAGCACATCTTGGTTGCTTCCAGGTTTTGGCAGTGATGAATGAAGCTGCTGTATACGTGTGCAGCTTGTTGTGTATCCATGGAAGTATATTTTCAGCTCCTTTGGGTAAATACCAAGGAGCGTGATTGCAAGATTGGTTGGAATATGTTTAGTGTTGTAAGAAACTGCCAAATTGTCTTTCAGAGTTGATGTGCATTTTACATTTCCACAAGCAGTGAATGGGAGTTCCTGTTACTTTACATCCTTGCCTACATTTGGTGTTCTCAAGTTTTTGGGTTTTATCCATTCCAACAGGTGTGTAATAGTATCTTCTTGCTGCTGTTTTAATTTGCAGTTCTCTAATGACATATGATATTATCTGAATATCTTTTTTTGGTGAGATATCTGTTCACGTCTTTAGCCCATTTTTAAAATAAGGCTGTTTGTTTTCTTATTGATGAATTTTAAGAGTTCTTTATATATTTTAGATACCAATCTTTTTTAAAATTTTTAAAGTTATTTTAGAGACAGGGTCTCGCTCTGTTACCCAGGCTACAGAGCAGTGGCATGATCATAGCTCACTGAAGCCTCAAACTCTTGGGCTCAAACATTCCTCCTGCCTCAGCTTCCTGAGTAGCTAGAAGTACAGGCATTGCCACCATACCCAGCTAATCTAAATTTTTTTTTATTTTGGTAGAGACAGGATCTCACTGTGTTGCCCAGGCTTGTCTTGGAACTCCTGGCCTCAACCAATCCTTCTGCCTCAGCCTCCCAAAGTGCTGGGACTACTATAGTACAGTATTACAACCAGGATATTAACATTGATACAGTCAAGATTCAGAATATTTCTATCACAGGGATCATTTATGTTGCCATTTTATAGCTAAACACACTTTCTTTTGGGTGCTAAACTCTGCCCTCCCAATCCTTAAGCCCTGGCAACCATTAATCTTTCTCTATTTCTACAGTTTTGTCATTTCAAGAATGTTAAATGGAATTATAAGATATATAACCTTCATTGTAGATTATCCATTTTGTCATTATATAATGTCCCTCTCTGTCTGCAGTAATTTTCTTTGCTCTGAAGTGTACTTTATCAGATATTAATATAGCTATTCCTGCTTTTCCTTGATTAATATTAGCATATTATATATTTTTCCATCCTTTTACTTTCAACTTGTCTGTATCTTTATATTTGAAGTGAGTTTCTTATAGACAGCATATAGTTGAATCATATATTTCAATCTACTCTTCCAGTGTTTATCTTTTAATTGGTATATTTATTTATATTTAATCTAATTGCCGTTTTTTAAGGGTTAAGCCTGCCATTTTATTCTTTGTTTCATTTGTTCTCTCTGTTCTTCATTTCTCTGTTTTTCTCTTGTCTTCCTGTGGTTTATTTAAACATTTTTTAGAATTTCATTTTTATTTGTGGTTGATTTGAATGTATCTCTTTGCATGGGAGTAGCTCCCAGCCAGTCCTGCTCTGATAGCTGTCTGTCAGGGAGGGATAGAAGTGCCTCTTTACTACTGTCCACATGTATCTTTTCACTGATACTCACCATGTATGGCAGAATGGCTTTGGCTGCTACTAGGTGTGGTGCTCCAAGTCCTGACTGTCCTCTGGTCGTCCTCTGACATCATCAGAGTGGGGTGGAATAAGGTCACTGTGTCACTAATGGGTGGGCTTAGAAGTCCAAGAGCCCCACTTGATCTCTGTCGACACTATGAGGATTCTTATTACCTCCTGGTGGGGATGAAAATCCTAGTCCCATTTCAGCCTTTTCTGAAACCACCTCAGTAAGGTGGTTGGGGCATCACATTACAGCCTAGTGCCAGTGAAAGTCTAGGATCATCATCTTAACCTTTATTGGTAGGAATGGGGGTCAGGCCGTAGTTTTTTTTCTGGTGTTGGCTGCACTAGAATAATTATTTCTAAAAGTTTTCTGTCTTGCTAGATTTCCCCTATCTTGGTCCTTTGGGAATTTGTTTTATCTGTACTTGTTGCCAGCTTCTCCAGCATCTGGTCTTGGACAGATGAGATAAAAAGTAAACCAGGTAACTCACTGTTGTGTCATTCTTTGGGTCCTGAGGTCCCTATCCAGTCTTCTTTCTTCTCATTGCGTTTTAGAGTCTTCTTATGTTTGTTTTATAAGTAATGTTTGGTGTTTCCAGTTGTATTTAGTGAGAGAAATTATAAAAAGTGTATCAATTCCATCTTCCCAGAAGCAGAAAATATGTTTCAAATATCTGGTAACAAAAATTACCTCTAAACAGTAGTTGAATTGGATGTATATGGATATTATTGTGTTTATGTACTTTTTGTTTGTTTATTTGGGGGACTAAATGCCTGTAGGTAGGCATATTTTATTGGGGGAGATAAAGAATTTAAAAAAAAAACCTGGAATCAACTCCTATGGATATTTATAAATCTCAAACTGAGACTTTTTTTGAACAACTCAGGGATGTTGTTAATCACTACTTTTTTACCTGTCAAGCTTTATTATGATTTCTTTTATGTTACTATTCATACAGTTCTCCTCCTTCTTCTGACTCTTTGATCTAGTTAAAGAGTAACTGACAATTTATGGAAATACTTTTGAGGTTTTGTATAGTATCACATTATAGGCTTTGTTAGAATCTAGTGGTCATGTGTTCCCTTTGAGCAACCATAGGTATTTCTATGGGGATTTAATATTCAAAGATTAGCTATGTAATATAGTAGAAACATCATCTATAGCACTGTTACTGTGTTATAAAATAAGAGAAAAATCAAGGCTTTCATTCCATATAAATTATATAATATTTTTATTATTTTATTTTATTTTTAAAAATATGTATGTATGGGCTGGGCGCAGTGGCTCATACCTGTAATCCTAGCACTCTGGGAGGCCGAGGCGGGCAGATTGTTCAAGGTCAGGAGTTCGAAACTAGCCTGAACAAGAGCGAGATCCCGTCTCTACTATAAATAGAAAGAAATTAATTGGCCAACTAAAAATATATAGAAAAAATTAGCTGGGCATGGTGGTGTATGCCTATAGTCCCAGCTACTTGGGAGGCTGAGGCAGAAGGATTGTTTGAGTCCAGGAGTTTGAGTTTGCTGTGAGCTAGGCTGATGCCATGGCACTCACTCTAGCCTGGGCAACAAAGTGAGACTCTCAGTGAGTGAATGAATGAATGAATGAATGAAAAGAAAAAAATATGTATGTATGTATGTGTGTATCTATTTAAAGACAGGATTATGCTCTGTTGCCAGGGCTAGAGTGCAATGGCAATGGCATCATCATAGTTCACTGCAACCTTAAACTCCTGAGCTCAAGTAATCTTCCTGCTTTGGCCTCCCAGGCAGTTGTGACTATAGGCATGTCCTACCATGCCTGGCTAAGTTTTTTTTTTTTTTTAATTTTTTGTGGAGACAGGGTCTCACTATTGCTCAGGCTGGTCTCAAACTCCTAGGCTCAAGATATCCTCCTGCCTTGGGTTCTCAAAGTGCTAGGACTTAGATATGAACCCCTGTGCCAGGCCTGTATAATATTTGGAAATTGCCCCAAGAGTAGTATGTTGTAAGAGTAAAATGTTATTGCAGATGTTTTAAAAAAAAGTTTTGACTGTATAATTACTTGAGCTGTTCAAGGTGTGAACTAATCTTGGGATTGGATTTTTTTTATTGTAGGATGATAGTCTAGAAGACAATGAAAAAAATTTCTATGAATCTGATGATGAACAGAAGGAAAAGACTGACAAAAGGAAGAAGACATATGCTATGGATCCAGACCATAGACTCTTGATTAGAAATACAAAGCCCTTGCTTCAGAGCAGGAATGCAGCGGTATGTTAAAATCCTTAGAAATAATTCACAGATTTTTAAAAATAGTAATGAAGAGTATATAAATTTAGTAAATGAGTCTATGTATGCTAATGGAGCATTTGTTTATTTATATATCAAATACATATAATGGATATTTGGAAATACAGTGTGAAATATAAGCTATAGAGAACTAATTTCTGGAAAGTAATGCCTGAATTTATTTCAGCCTTCAATGTTTCCAGGTATGCAAAATTAGGTTTTGATGAGAATACCTGGTTTGGTAGTTGTTGGCCTATTAGACTTCATTTGCTTTTCTGTAGTTTTGTTAATTGGCTTTTTGTTAATGTAAGTTATGAGCCCAAGTTGTTTCTCAGTTAATTGGATTATATTAGCCTTTATGCAAAGACTATATATATATATATATATATATATTTGTCAGTTACTCCATTGTGTTTAAGAGTTCATAATGTTTCCATCTATCTGACAGAATTTTTAAGAGACTAAAGTATAACAAAAGTAATATCTCACACATAGTAAACTTACATTGGTAGTAATAGTAACTAAAAATCATCTTTGTTTGAGTCCTAAGGGTTTTTTTTGTTTGACATCTTTTTATATAATCTTTTATATTTTAGAAGAATACATGTACACAATAAAAAATTAGAAAATATAAATTAGCAAAACTAAAATAAAACATCACATTCTCATCACTCAGAAATGAGTTATAATAGTGTATTTTCTTTCAGATCTTTTTTGTCTGCATAAATATACATATATTCATTCACATGTATATGTGCTATATATTTTTAACCAAGATACAAATCTTACCATGTGTAATAAATTTTTAGTTGTTTTTTTTCTAGTCTGTTCTCTCCACCATGAAATTTCAATAAAATTTCATATCATAAAATATCAATTTATCTTAAATTGTCCTTTTTAGATAGTTTATCCAAACCATTATCTCATGCATTTCATCTGGTTGTTAAATTGTTTAAAACCTCTCAAGTCCTACAGAATGTCCTTCTCAATTTGTCTGGTTGCTTCTTTTTTTTTTTTTTTTGAGACAGAGTCTCGCTTTGTTGCCCAGGCTAGAGTGAGTGCCGGTGGCGTCAGCCTAGCTCACAGCAACCTCAAACTCCTGGGCTCGGAGCGATCTTCTGCCTCAGCCTCCCAAGTAGCTGGGACTACAGGCATGTGCCACCATGCCCGGCTAATTTTTTACATATATATCAGTTGCCAATTAATTTCTTTCTATTTATAGTAGAGATGGGGTCTCGCTCTTGCTCAGGCTGGTTTCCGAACTCCTGACTTGAGCAATCCGCCCGCCTCGGCCTCCCAGAGAGCTAGGATTACAGGTGTGAGCCACCGCGCCCGGCCTGGTTGCTTCTTTTATAATGTTATTTAATTTATTCTTTTAAACTTGTGTTTCCTGTTAACTGAAAAGCATTATATCTAAATGCTTAATGAATTTAAGTTAAACATTTTCTTAAATTTTTTTTTTTTTTTGAGACAGAGTCCTTGCTTTGTTGCCTAGGCTAGAGTGAGTGCCATGGCGTCAGCCTAGCTCACAGCAATCTCAAACTCCTGGGCTCAAGCGATCCTCCTGCCTCAGCCTCCTGAGTAGCTGGGACTACAGGCATGTGCCACCATGCCCGGCTAATTTTTTCTATATATATATTAGGTGGCCAATTAATTTGTTTCTATTTATAGTAGAGAAGGGGTCTCGCTCTTGCTCAGGCTGGTTTCGAACTCCTGACCTCGAGCTATCCGCCCGCCTCGGCCTTAAAATTTTTTAATTAAGAGAATATTCTTAATGAATTGTTTTCTTACATTAGTGAAAACTTTAAATATGAGGAATTTTATGTGAATTACTGTTTTCTGATTCTTGAGAATTTAAGGTTTACACCTTTGTATATCTGAGTAATCAGCAACAGTTTTTATCATACACCTAGTAATTGTTTCCAAATCATTATTCAGTAACATGTTCAGTCATAACAAAAATATTATTCCACTGATGTTGTAAAATATGATTTTATTTTAGTGTGCCCTAGCTTAGCCAGACACTAGTTAGGTAGCTGCAATATGCCATCTAAAACTCTGCTTTATGAGTGAATCACTGTTAATTTAAGTTTTTCTTAAAAATTGATTTTAAAGTTCAAATACTTACTAATTAAAATTGTTCTCAGATGATGAAACAAATTGAGGTAGTTTACTTTTTGTCCCAGTATATTTTGGTACACTGTTTTTTGATGCTGCTAAATATAAGTAAAGGCTGACTTTTGAAGAATTGTGAATAGCTTTTCTCTTAACCTTATACTCAGGTTTATGGAGAGACTTTCAGAATTTGTTTCAGAAAACTTAGTCATTGCTGTGTAGATTGAATTGCAGATAGATGCTGGAAACAGAGGTGATAGTGGCGTGAATATTTAAGAATAGAGAAGTGAATATAGTTTGTACTTAACTGTGAACATACATGATGTAAGTGTAGAAGGCCTTTGAGGCTATATATTTTTTTTAGTCTTTTTGGATTTTGGAGTTTTGGGAGCTTTCCTTTGGCTTTTATAAATTAGCCTATACATTTCAAATTTTGAGTTTAGAAGAAACTTTAAACTGTTGGATTTGTAAATATTGAGGAAAAAAAAGATTGTTTAGTCCTTTTGGATTTTGGAATGCCCTAATATGTTAGAATGAATGACATACAAAGTGGAAGCTAGAATTTTAAAAACATTGTCATCCATAGAAAGTACAGTATATGTTCTTGCTAGTAGGATTGGACTTATTATTTGTGATGGAATAACATTTAATTATGATGTATAAAATACATTAAAATTTAAGCTTCAATTTTCTTTTCTGTCATATACTAAATACTTAATTAGCCAGCTATGTGCTTTAATATTTTTACAAATGACTATCACCTTGTATTAAGTCAGTCATTAATTGGGATTCTTTTATCTTTGTAAGATTTTAAATTTAAGAGTTTATTCTATAATTAAAGCATATTTTATAGATCATAAGTGAAGAACTGAGATATTCTTGTACTCCTAAAATTCTTGACTGATGTCTAAAAGCATAATCAGTCTTGTAGCAAAAGTACAACAAATGCCAAACAACAGTAAATTTAGGCCCTGTGATCTGTAATTTTTAAAATGCAGTGTTTTAGTTTCAGAAGAAACTCTCTTTACCTCAAGCACTCTCATGTGCTATATACTTTAGGCATACATAAAACTGCCAAATATTTGTTAGAATTTTATAGACCAAACAGAAATAAAGTAATATTAGTATATCTTTTGAACCAAAGACAAGATTGGGTAAGTTCTATAGTTATGTCTCTGCAGTTATCACTCTGAATCTAAGTGTAAAGGCCCTTAGGAGAAACACAGTATTCTTATATTTTGAGACAAAGAAATCCTAATCACCCTTATAATGGCTTTGAACTAAAGACTATTTTAAAGGTCTGCACTTTGAAAAATAAGATTATTTCAAATGCTGCTTTAGATACATTGTTTTAATGGAGTTCCTTTAATTACAACTTAAATGTGCTGATTTTTCTTTATTTCAGCCTACTTTTACTGTTATCCTGAAGTATCTGGCTTCATTTTGAAAGGCACACTTGAATTCTTAAAAATTCCCAGTCTGAGCAGTAGCAGTACTAGGAGGAGCATGGAATTTGGGGTGTCTTGTTGAGCTTTGCCACATAATGGCTGTCACATCTTCAGTAGATCATTTAACATCTATTTTCTTTTCTGAGGATGTATTAGTTTCCTAGCACTGTCATACAAATTGCCACAAACTGGGTGGATTAAAACAACAGAGATTTATTCTCACATTTTAGTATATCAGAAGTCCAAAATCAGGGTGTAAACAGCATTGGTTCTCCTTGGAGGCTCTGAGAGAGAAAGCTACTCTTTCCCAGCTTCTGGTGGTTGCTAGCAGTTGTTGGCATTTCTTGGCTGGTAGATGCATCACTCTAATCTCTACCTCCATTTTCACACTGCCTTCTTCTCTGTGTCTTTTTGTGTCCTTTTCTGTCTCTCATAAGAACACTCTCATTGAATGTAGGGCCTATTCTAATCCAGCATGATCTCATTTTAGTCCTTACCTTAATCATTTCTGCAGAGACCCATCTTCTAAATAAGATCATATTCTGAGGATAGACAAAAATTTGGGGTCTATCTTCTTCAACTCACTACAAACAACATATTTTATTTCACAGGAATTTTGTAGGAGTTAAAGGAAACAATATCTAATAATGTGTTTTGAAATAATAGATTGCCCCAGTCTTCCTAGTTCCTATTATTTTCATGCTTTATCTTTTAGGTGGTTATGGCAGTTGCTCAGCTATATTGGCACATAGCACCAAAATCTGAAACTGGCATTATTTCTAAATCACTAGTGCGTTTACTTCGTAGCAATAGGTAAGTCAATATTTCAAATATGTTTTTTCTTTTGTGTTTCTTCAAAAGTAATGTTTGAACAAATATAATCTATCTTTTAGGCATTTAATAAATAGCTCTGACTACATTTTATCCATAAGATTTTATACTAAAGGGGATCAATATAAAAGCATTTATAACATTTATCTCAAACTTAATGATAAATATTGAAAAATTTTTAACCTGAGCCCAAAGAGACTGAGAATATTTTGTAGCATAGAGTATATGCTGTCACTAGTAGCTTAGTATTTGATATTTTTAGGTATGACAATAATGATGTTTGGGAGTTTTAGTAAATCTGGAATTACTGAAAAACTATACTGAAGTACTATCAGATTGACTTAATTACTATAGTTTGCTCTATTTTAAAAAGAGAGTTATACAGAAACGAGAAGTTGGTATTTTTGAGACAAGGGAGTCTGCCAACCTCCTCATATGCTAGCAGATTAATAAACTCTTCTCTTCAAAAAAAAAAAAGAGCTATATATATTTTTTTATTTCAAAGTATTATGGGGGTACAAATGATTTTGGTTACATAGATCACTTTTCTAAGCTTGAGTCAGGGTTATAAGTGTGCCTGTCATTTAGATAGTGTTCATTGTACCCCTTAGGTAGGTTTTTGCACATCCCCTCCCCTTTCCTCCCCTCCCCCTGTTTGATTTCCATTGAATTATACTTCCTTCTATGCACATGTGTGAAGAGAGCTATAATTTTAATAGCTATTCATTTTAAATAATTACATATTCTTTTAGTTTTTTATAGATATTTACATAGAAAGCAAGGATGCATGCCACCTTCTTTTTAATTTTACCTCCTTATAATTCAGTGGTTCAAGTGAACTATTCAGAACACTTATATTGAGTTCCCATGACATTTAACATGAGAAACATAATTTCAAGTTTGAGATCAGATTTTTTTTGTTTGTTTTCTGTATTTAAGAATAACTTTGTTTCAGCTATTTAGTAAGCCATAGATATTTTGCAATAATGAGTTGTTTTAAATTAAAAATTTCATTTTTTCATTGAGTGCTCACTTCCACTAACTGGGTAGGAAAAAAAAGGTATATATTTATTTTTGCCCTTTACTAGAACTTAGCACTCTCCTTTAGCCCTTGACTAGCTTTTGCCATTCCTTAGTAACAAGTGAGATGACATTTCCTTTGTGTTCCTGTTCTCCCTGTCCTTATATCTAGTCATTCTTTTCTCTTGTCAGTTCAATAATTTTTCTTTTCTATGCTAGTTCAAAGGATATCAGAAATATCTGAAATGGGTCTTTCACAGGAAACCTTATACCAGATTCAGTTCATTTATTATATATTTGAACATAAAAATATAAATAAAAATATCATATGACTGCTCTTTAATTCTGGCCTTCACTCTGGGCAGGATTGAGTGACAGAATGAGCCTTCTAGTCATAGAGTTTACATTCTCACTGTGGTCATGTTTACACCATTAACTCTAAGAGTACCTTCCTTGTGGGAAGGTTCCAATCTTCCAACCAGATACAATATTGACTTTGTATTTTAGGAGTACATTATTATAAAATTGGTTTTAATTCTTCCTCATGATGAATCACTTCTAATTTATTATGTAAATTATTGCTGATTCTTTTTCATCATTGTACTGTTAACTCAAAGATGTTTCACTGGAAAATATACCCAGTGAAAGTTTTCTTTTAATTTCTAGGGAGGTGCAGTATATTGTCCTACAAAATATAGCAACCATGTCAATTCAAAGAAAGGTATGTACATAAGAACACACAATTTAAGAGGCAAATGAACATATTAGTACCATAAATGTATTTATATATTCATTTTTTGTAATTTAGGGCATGTTTGAACCTTATCTGAAGAGTTTCTATGTTAGGTCAACTGATCCAACTATGATCAAGACACTGAAGGTGTGTATGTTTTCATTTTTTAGATACTTTTAATACATGTTTACTTTGCAGAGATAGTGCTATAACTTTCTAGCATCTGCAAAATGGAGTCCTGCTCTTCTAAAAACAGATACATTTAAGGATTTTTCTTGATACTTTCTAATCTGTATTCTTATGTACTTTTAATAGTTACTGTGTTACATTCTGATAAAGTTAAGACATGCTGCCTACACCTCGGGTAACTCATGCTGAAGGAGGCAAGTATGTGAATAGATAATTTTAGCACTGTGTATTTACACCTCGGGTAACTCATGCTGAAGGAGACAAGTATGTGAATAGATAATTTTAGCACTGTGTATTTTAGGAGATACAGCAATTTAAATTGAGTGCTGTGAAAACAGAAAGGTGAGGCTAATTTTTTGAAAGATTTGTAAAACATGATGTTAGGAAGGGTCTTAAAAGAATGACATTGTCAATTTTTTTTGTTGTTGGGAAGTTGATTGGGAGGTTGAAGGGTTGGGAGTAGGTGAAAAGCACAATTTATGCTGATACTAGGGATTATGAAAGAGTGTTGTTTTCAGAGTTATCTTTCTCTGAAAACTCCTCTCTACTATGACGTAGAGAGGAGTTAGGAATATAAAGCTATAATGATTAAAACAGTATGATATTTAAAAAGAAAAGTAAGTGGAATAGAGTAGAAAGCCTAGAAACATACCCATAAATGAGAAAATTTACTGTATAATAGAAGAGACATTACAAACCAATGGGGAAAAGATGGACTATTCAATAAATATTAGAATTATGTGTTATTTACATGGAAACTGAGTTTAATTATAAGAAAATTTAAGATACACCCAAATTGAAGGATATTTTATAAAAAATCTGTTTTTTTTGTTTTTTGTTTTTTTTTTGAGACAGTCTCACTCTGTTGCCCGGGTTAGAGTGCCATGGTGTCAGCCTAGCTCACAGCAACCTCAAGTTCCCGGGCTCAAGCGATCCTTCTGCCTCAGCTTCTTGAGTAGCTGGGACTATAGGCATGTGCCACCATACCTGGCTAATTTTTTCTATATATTGTTAGTTGGCCAATTAATTTCTTTCTATTTTTTAGTAAAGACAGGGTCTCGCTCTTGCTCAGGCTGGTTTCGAACTCCTGACCTTGAGTGATCCACCCACCTCGGCCTCCCAAAGTGCTAGGATTACAGGTATGAGCCACTGCACCCGGCCAAAAATCTGGTTTCTAATCATCAAAAGTCTCAGAGTCATGAAAGTCAAAAGAAAGACTGAGAAACGATTTCAGACTGAAGGGGAAAACTAAATATAATATGGGATATTGAACTGGATCCTGTTATTATACATTATTGAGACAATTAATGGAACTTAAATGCATAGTGACAATTGCACAGAAGTAATGCATCAGTGTTAATTTCCTGATTTTCTTTGTTGTACTGTGGTCTGTAGAATATGTCCTTTTTTATAGGAAATATACATAGAAGTTTTGGGGCATGATACGGCATCAGATTGGCAACTGTAGTCTCAAATGGTTCAGAGAGAAAAGAAGTTCTTTATACTATACATGTAACTTTTTGTATGATTGCGATTGTTTTTAAAAAGTTGTTCAAAAAGTCAAAATATAGTCACCAAAATAAAACGAAAAGTTAGGCATAAACTGGGAGAAAACGTTCCTGATACATGTATCTGAATAAATGTCTTGTAGTACCAAGAATATATAAAGAACTCCTTCTACAATCCGTGCCTTTTAATTGGTATATTTAGATCATTTAATTTTAATGTAATTACTGATATGAGTATATTTATATGTCCACGTCTTATTTTCTGTTTGTCTCATGTGTTCTCTTCCTTTTTACTTTTTCTTGATTTTCCTCAGATTAACTGTTTTTTTATGAGTAAAAAAAAATTTTTTTGCAAGCCCATTGGAGATGGACTTGTAATTATATATTTCCTATATCTATAAATCCAGAAGAAGGAATTAAAATGCCTAAGTATTTGGGATGGTAGAATGTAGGAGAACAAATCAAGACAATTGGTATCTAGAAAGCAGGTATTAGATGGAGGGCAAATTGTTTTCTAACTTTTCTAACAAAAGACAAAAGTTAAACTGCGTAAATTGTTTCAGTTAATTAGATATAAATTGTAAAGTTGGGACAAACAATGAGTAAGGTATAGGAGTCTCCTTTTTCTAATTATTTTTTAAGAACTAGTAACTGTCTAGTCTCTGTATAGGCATAAGAAGACAGACTAAGTTCACCTTGAAGGGTATAATGCCTCACCACATTGGTGACAGTGTGATTTTTTTAAAAATAGAAATTATCTTTCAATTAAATGCCTAGACTTTATTAAGTTTATCTTATTACTTATGTTTTCAAATCTTTACTTTCTCTTTTTTTCTACCATAGCTTGAAATTTTGACAAACCTGGCAAATGAAGCTAACATATCAACTCTTCTTCGAGAATTTCAGGTATGTATATATTGCTAATTATAAAATTACTTATAAAACATATGTTCAATTCTTAAGGTAAATTTGTATTTTTCCCAATCTAGAAATATATAATTATGTAAATAAAACAGTGATTTGGGATAAGAGTAACAACTAAGAAATCGATAAATTTTTAAGAATAAGCATTAACTACGAATTTATAACTTAAAGGAAATGGAATATTTCCTTCCATGTTTTCATAGAATTTGAAAGACTTTGGTTTATAAGTTTGTTTGAAATTTTATTTCTGGAATGGATGTCATATTTGTGTGTTGTCATCATCTGTAATCCTTTCTGTACTCTACTCATGAAAATGGCTTCATTTCTTTTTTTTTTTTTTTTTCTTTTATTTGGTGATTCCAAAACCCTGGACATTTCTTACCTAGTTGTTCCTGTTTGATTGATCTATCACTATTTTAGACACTGTACAATTTTAGCCTCATGTACAACTCAAAAACATTTGGTTTATAAGTGCCTCACTATGATATTTTTAATTGTTATCTTTATTTTATTTTTTATATTTTTAAACCATGCGTGCTTATGGATGAGATGCTTCTTAGCTTATTTCCTCAAAAAATAGTATTCAAAAATTACTTGATGGACATTATGCCTTTTATGATGGAAGGGTCATCTTTGAAGCCTTAGTGGTGGAGCACAGCAATAGAAAACATTATGTCAGTAGTATGAGTTTTACATCCCATCTGCAGTTTTCTTAACAAAAATATTCCACATGCCGCACACTAGTCACAGAGTTTTTATCAATGCCTAATTTTTATAGATTTATTTTGTTGTCATAATTCTTCTATAAGCCGATATTAAATTTCTTTTTAGCTATATAGACATTATATTTCTTTTTAGCTATGTGGTTTTAAAGTTTTTTGAGGATAGTAGAATATTATGGTATGTCCATGATTTATATTTTCATAACTGGGATTACTTTTTTATGCTATATATTTTTCTAGAAAAATTCCTTATAAAATTAAGATGTCTCGGAGACCCACTCATATTTATATGCCAGAAAACGTAGTATCTTGTTATCCATTAATCTTATTAGCTATAGATCATTGCTGAATTTCATTTTACTTCATTCTTTTATTTATTAATCTTTGAGTTTTGGTCTTCATGTTTGCTCTTGTCCCTTTTTCTGTTGTCCTGTGTAATCTCTTTAGGTTTCTTCTCGCTGTCTATTTTCTGCTTATGTCAATTCTCCTGGGATTGTAGGAAGGGAATCTTAGGTAATCTTAGGGTAGTGTTTGGTTGTATAGAGGTTACACACTAAACCTGTTTCAGAATATCTGTGATTTAGTTGTTTCATTTAAGATGAGAATATTTAATAAGGTCCATTTTTTAGTCAAACTTTTAAGCATATTCTTTCTTCACGTATTCATTTTTATTATTGTCTAAATTTGTACTTTATTTCTGTTTATGTGTTATGTTCACAGTTACATACAGTTTGCTTTTAATAACTTTTTGAGTAAAATATTGAATTTTTCTGAAGATTTGTAAGTATGTTTTTTTTAATTGAAAAAATTGGGCAATCTATTTGGGAACAGTTTTAAATACAGTCGGTCTTACCTTCATGGAACTAGGAAAGTTTAATTCCATGTTTGTTTATTTCCTCATATTTAATCACCTTGGTCCCATTCTTACTAAATTTGTCTTTTTTTTTTATTCTTAAATTCTCTCCCCCACTTGTCATTTAGACACCATTTAAATGTATATCTTTTTTTGTATTTTAGATAACCATAGTGTTAATTTTAAATTGTATACTTCTCATTTGAGGTTGGGAATCTTTTAAAAAAATTTCAGTGGAAAATGGGATTTTAAATCCTATATATATATAATATGATATAAAGTATAAATATACATATTAAAAGTACATTTGTTTCTGTTAACAATGAAAGCTTTTTAAATTGGGAAAGTTCTAACTCAAGTGAAATTCTCCTATAAATTTTGTAAATATATTTTAACATCCAATTGTTGATCAGTGATTTTTTATTTTTAAGTTTGTATAAATGTTCTATTTAAAGTGTTTTTAAAAGTGTGCTTTTAAAGAGAACCTATTTCAAAAGTATGACATTTTGTCGTAAACTGAGTATTTATAGTCTTTATTGAAGTGCTGCTCACTGTAGCTATTGTTATGGTTTTGCATCCATTGTGATACCATCTTGAAAGTAAAATATTTGTGAATAGCATACTGGTCTTATTCTTTTTCTCCCAGTTCTTAGAGTTAGTGTCTCTGAAAAAGTGACCCTTTTTTTTCATAGATCCACAGATGCTGCTGGTTAAATGAACTGAAACCTCCAAAGAGAGAGTTCTTATCATCTCTTTCAACCTTGCACTTAAACTAATTGCTATCTTTGGGTGACTGCTCCCTACTATCTGTTTTGGAGTCTCAAGCCACTGTGGCCACAGGTCAATGAGCCTGGCTTGAAAATGTGCTTCTTCTATAGGCACATTCTTAAAACAAAACTAAATTAATCTAAGTCATCAGTTGGGCCTCCTGTTGTGCTTGTGAGAAGATTATGTATTCTGGAATTGTTATATGTTGACAAAGCTTAATATAATAGGGTTTTTGGTTCACTTCATAATACCAATGTGTAAACTAATTGAACTAATGTTTTCTAGACCTATGTGAAAAGCCAGGATAAACAGTTTGCAGCAGCTACTATTCAGACTATAGGCAGATGTGCAACCAATATCTCAGAAGTCACTGATACATGCCTCAATGGCCTGGTCTGTCTGCTATCCAACAGGGATGGTAAGTTCACAGTTTCATTTTATTTTCAAGTGATTTATAATTTGAATATTTTTGGTATTATCCGTAAGTTGTAACCTTTTTTAACTTTGCATTTTAATTTTTCCTAATATGTCATTAGTATAGTCACAATAAGTAGCATTTTATTCTTGAAATGAACATAAATGCACACATTCTGGTTTTTTTTTTAAGTAAATTAGATAATTAACTAGCACTTTTTTTTTTGCCTCAACAGAACTAAGAAAGTTTAATTTGCTTTTTTTACTTCTTGACAGTTTAACCACCTTCATTGTACCCTTTCCACAAAGGTTCTATCTTACTGCCTTTTAATGACATATAAGCCATGCATAATATTGGTTCACCTGCAGAGGGTGCTAAAAGCAGGCAAATGACTTTATAACATGGAGAAGTGGATAGATCAAAAAATGTTAACTGTGTACCTTCAATGTTTCCCCCCCCAGAAATTCATCTAATAATTTTATATTAATGATTAACTAGATTCAAAAGCTATCAATTTGGTACAGCTTCATATTTTAAGCCAATTGATATCTAAGTGTTTGGTAACTGTATAGGTAATATCCAGTAAAATATGTAATCTAGATTTTACATTGTTTTGTGGTAACGTGTCAGCTATTTTACAGGTATGTCTTTAGAATTAATGGGACCATTTAGAGAAAGAAAAACAATTCAACTTTTACCTTTAAAATACGTTATTTAGATGACTTGTTATAATTGCATATTTGATTAAAATAAATTATTTTTGAAAAAGCATAATTTTCTGTGTAAAATCATTTAAATTATTAGTGGAATTTTAAATATATACTTATATCATATCAGGCACATATGACATAGCAGCCATGAGGTGAAATGTAACCAAATTGATTATTTTAAATATTTCATTTGAGAAATAATTTTTCATGATGATAATCCTATTATCCCTAATTATCTTTTTCCACATGTAGATCTCTTTAGAAAACAGTAACATTGTTGCAATTACTTCTGATGAACAAAGTTTAAAGAAAATGTATTCCTAAATAACATTGATTTTTGTTGTGGACATAACATTTTAAACTTGTACCTATAAACTCAAGATATTATGACAGATAGAACATTTGTCTACATGTAGTATTAAAATTTCAAATAAATGCCAACAAAAATTATCAAGAACATAGTTTACAAAATTGTTTTGTCTGTACAGAGTAACAGGGGAGCTAGGATGATAAATGTCATCCATTTTATCTATTCCTATTTTTAACAACGACTAATATTTTTGTCTCTGTTTCTATGTCACACTTTAAAATGTGACTGTAAAACCATATCTTTTATTTTCCTGTATCTTTAATTAATAATGACTTTCTATTTGACCAAATAAAACACACTCCTTGGGAAAATAATTCCAGAACATTAAAGATTATGAACCAAAGTTTACCAGAGTAGTTGTTCTTTACGATTTAGTAGCATACAAAAAAAAAAACCCACTAGAAATTAGTTAGAACACTGATTAGTTCTTTTAAATACAAAACATATTCAAGTTTTCTCAATTTTATTTTTGACTCTTTTTTCTGATATGAAAATTGCAAGCTGTGGATTTTAAAGCTTTTTATAATATATTAACTTGACAAAAAGTATTTTTATTCACTTTGATTTAAAACATAAATGCCCTAGCACTTTTAAAGGAAGAATAGATTATTTATAATTAGATACTGGAAGAGTAATATTATATGTAATCACTCGCAAAAAGTAGGAAGATTAGTAATTTAAACTCTAATATTTTGATGTTTAGGCTTTTGTTTTTGGTAAATCAAAACTCTTTATAGCCATAGATTTTTTTCCCCCTGCAGTTTGAATAGTAACAAACGTAATTAAATTGCGTTGTCCAGGTTCTGGTTGTATAATCATCATTAACCTATAATACCCAATTAATTATGTTTTTCATATATGCTACATATTTTTTTTGTAGTGTGGAAATCTGTCTCAATAAAATTAAGAGGTAAAACAAATAGACTATATTAAAATCAGTAATATAAAAGTACATTTTATAGTATTTTTAACATTAACAGTAGAGCCCCTTCCACTTCCTATTTAAAGATCTACTTTTAGAAATAAATACTATGAATGTAGCCTTAGTTTCCTTCAAATCTGCAAGATTTTTTGTGACTTAAGAATCTGTGATTCTTTGATTTAGTGAAATTGATACCCCATTGTCTCTTTAGATAATGTGTCTTTAAACTTTGTTTTTTATATACTCGAAGCTTGCCCTTAAAATAGACCATTGTTGCTTTCTAAGGTTAATTTGAAAAACAAATTTCTTAAATATGTTTAATAGGAGAAATCTGCATTTCAGTTGACTTAGGATAATTTAGTTGCCTAAGATAATTTATTTCAGGTAACATATTAGCAAAATTTGGTTGTCTGGAATAATTTTATTGCCATCTACTATAAACTAAAAGGATCAGCGGTGGAAGACCTTTTTTTGTTTAGTTTTTTAATAATTCAATAAACATTTACTCAGGACGTGAATTAGTTGATATATTTAATAAATGTTGAATACATTAATATAGTACTCATTTAGCTTATAGAAGTTTCTTGCCTTTATGGAGCTCATAGTCTCATGGAAAGAGATAGTAATATAAAACAAATATACTATAGTCTTCCCATATACTAATCACTCTGCTGCCAGCTGTTTGCTTACGTGTAGAACTAGATTATCTATGTTTGAATGTTGATGGTATCTTGAATAAATTACCTAATGTGCCTGATTCCTCATTTGTAAAATGTGTGTAATAGTAGACTATATTTCTTAGAGTTAGGTCCATTAAGTTTAGTTGAGGACAAGGAGGGAGCTAGGATAGGCCTAGCACATAGGATTATTTTGCGCTTCTGGTGAGTAACATCACAGTGCTGACGGCTTTCAAAACCTGAAGGTAGCATAAAGGAAAAGTAGTGTGGAATTCCTTGAAGGGAATGAAAAGGAACCTGTGGTAGGTAGAATAACGGCCCCTCAAAGGTTCCTAGGTCCTAATGCCCCGAACCCGTGAACATGTTACCTCATATGACAAAAGGGCCTTTGCAGATGTGATTAAGTTAAGGTTTCAGAGATGAGATTATTCTATGGGCCCAGTGTTATCAAAAGTGCCTTTACAAGAGAAAGAGGGAGGCAGGAAAGTCAGAAGATGTCAGAAGCAGAGGTCAGAGTGATGTGATTGTTAGGAGGGAGCCTTGAACCAAGGAGGGTGGAGCAGCCTCGAGAAATTGGAAAAGGCAAGGAACAGATTTTCCTCCCCTAGAACCTCTAGAGGGAACGAAGCCCTATTGACAGCTTGATTTTAGCCCCATAAGAACTGTTGGACTTCTGACTTCAGAACTGTAAGATGATAAATTTGTGTCGTTTAAGCTACTCCATTTGTAGTAATCTGTGACAGCAACAATACAAAACCAATATAGCTCCAAAGGATATATAATATTCCAAATACATATTTCAACTATAACCAATCCTGCCTCTGTATTATGGATAATTAAAATAATGCAACATTGTTTCCTTAGGCTAGTTTTGCAATAATACATTTTTAAAATATTGATTTTTATACTATGGATTCCTTTATACTTATCATATATTGCTATGCTAGTAATTACATAACCATTTTATTTTTCCGACTAGAGTGTAAGCTTAATGAGGGCAGGATCTCATTCTGATTTACCTTTGTCTTTCTCATAGCACAAAGAAGTGGTCTTTTTAGAAGTAATACATGCTCATAATAATATAGAACATTATTATAGGTAGAATGGTACATCCTGGTTCTGAGTTTGAATTCTGGACAGTCATAATTCCAATGCATGTCTCTTCATTTTTAAAATGATAATAATAGGTTATCTACCTTTTGTTACTGTGAGAAGAAAATGAAATGTGACATTTTGTAAACTAAAGCATTAATATTAGTTAACTATTAGCTAATTTTTCATTCCCATGGAGAAAGTTATACAATTTGAAATACATACATTTAATAATGGTTAGAATGATAAATTTTGTTTATATTCTTTAGGAGAGCAAGATAGAATATATTTCAGAGAAAGTAACAGGAAACAAATCATGTTATTTCTAGTATAATATTAAAATAAACCCTTTTAGTATATACCAGGGAATCTCTAATATCTATGAAGACCTATTAATAAAAAAAAGTCAAAATAATAAGTAAAGGCAATGTTGATTTATTTTGTTGGCTTTGGTAGCATTTATAATACTTTATATAAGATTTATTCCATAAGGTCAGGTTCTCAGACTAGTTATATTACATTTCTCTGCTGGTGTCACCCAAAAGTAACTGGACCAGTGATTAGCCACTTTAGTATGATCCCATAATTCTGATTTGAGGATTTGCTTCCTAACCACTTCCAGTAGCAGTTACTGTATCAGTTAAGGCCCTAGCAAGAAACAGATGGCCCACTTTAAAAGGGAGATTGATGACAATTTAATGAAGGAACTGTTTATACAGTGTGGGCAGGATTAAGGGAAACCAACAAGGTATAATGTATTACCCTGGAGCTAACAGGCTGGCAACAATGGGAAGCCCTTACCATACCTAGGATTCAAGAAAATGGGCACAAGGAGGAGGCACAGCAGTTACCAGACCCTCTAGGAGAGAGCCACTCATAGGAACTGATACCTTCAGTAGAGGACTGCATGTGATAGTTAGGAGGCTGGCAGGGGAGGGATACAGGATAATAAATATTTTCTCCTCTCTCCCCGGATCTCCTGCTGGAGCTTCCTGTTGCCACTAGAAGCCAGGGGCAAGGGAGTCTGGTTGATGTAGTCTACAGGTGGACCTCTGAGGGCACAGAGCTGGGGAGAAAAAGAAAGAGTGAACTTATGGGACAAATAGATACAGTCTAGCTCGCAAGTCCTACTCTTCTATGCTATTTCTACAGTAACATCTTTTCTGCTACTACTCATCTTGACCACTCACTTTTCTGGACATATCACTTAAGGAAATTTTTTTAGCTTGCTATTTTCTATAGAATAGGGGAAATGTTGTTTAGATTGTAGATATTTGATTACCACTATATAATCAGTAGACATCAAAGAGCAATATTTGAGAGCTCTGGTTAAAAGCTAAAGACACAGGACACTATGGTGAGCAGTACAATCCAACCTCTGCTGCTTTTCTGATCTAAAGAAACAGAGATTAGAAATGGATAACAGAAATTAGGAGACAGCAACAGAGGTTCTTTTCTACTTAAGACAGGTGTTCACCCCCAAAATTTGGGAGCACACTCTTGGTTATACCTTCCTTTCACCTGGTCTTTTAAGACATGTAGAATGTTTTGCTAATTTATGTTTACATTTTACCAAGCATATTGTATTTGAATTGAATTATACATACTTAATATGAATAATCTCTTTTTCAGAAATAGTTGTTGCTGAAAGTGTGGTTGTTATAAAGAAATTACTTCAAATGCAACCTGTACAACATGGTGAAATTATTAAACATATGGCCAAACTCTTGGACAATATCACTGTGAGTATAATTAAGAGATGCTTGCTGAATTCTACTGAATTTTATTCAGTATGTGGTAGTGATTAGGAGAACTGAACTAGATTCAAATTGTGGTCTAAGATTTTGTGCTGTTGTAGGAGGGTAATTACAAATCTGAAAAGGGCAAGGATAGAATGAGACTTGCTGTGTTAGATTGGAATTGGAGATAGCAGTGTGAGCTTCATGGGGTTTTAATATAGATAGCTAGGTGTTGTGTGAATATATGTACACATTTAAGGGTCACATATGAATGTGTAAATGAAAATACAAGCATCTATTTCCCAGTGCTGTCCTTTGAGAGGGCCTGGAAACAATACTAACCCAGGACCAGTGAGTATACCTTGTACCTAGATCTTTCTCTTTTTAATTAGATATGATTTTATACCATAAAATTCTCCCTTTTGAAGTATATAATTTGTTGGGTTTTGGTATACTCATAAGCTTATGCAATCATCACCAGTATGTAATTGTAGAATATTTTTATCACCCCTAAAAAAAGTCCCAGAGTGAAACTGCATAGCCTCCCTTTGCTCTATGCCCTGCCTACCACTAATCTACTTTATATCTCTGTAGATATGCCTATTCTGGACAATAATATGTGGCCTTTTTTTTCTGGCGTCTTTCACTTAGCATGTTTTCAAAGTTCGTGCATGGTGTAGAATATAGTACTTCATTCCTTTTTATGGGTAGGTCTTCAGTTTTAAATACTATTCTCCACTTAAAGGAACCAGGATTCCTTAGAGAAATGGCTGATTTCAGAGCTAGGGTAAAGAAAGAACAAGATGAGCCTGGAACATCCTGTTGGGCTAAACAAAAGCAGCAAAGTACTCACAGAGTGATAGAGACATGACTAAAGGACTCAAGAGCCATCTTTTTTTTTTTTTTTTTGAGACAGAGTCTCACTTTGTTACCCAGGCTAGAGTGAGTGCCATGGCGTCAGCCTAGCTCACAGCAACCTCAAACTCCTGGGCTCAAGCGATTCTGCTGCCTCAGCCTCCCGAGTAGCTGGGACTACAGGCATGCGCCACCATGCCCGGCTAATTTTTTCTATATATATTAGTTGGCCAATTAATTTCTTTCTGTTTATAGTAGAGACGGGGTCTCACTCTTGCTCAGGCTGGTTTTCGAACTCCTGACCTTGAGCAATCCGCCCGCCTCGGCCTCCCAGAGAGCTAGGATTACAGGCGTGAGCCACCGCGCCCGGCTCAAGAGCCATCTTGAAGGGACTGCCACCTGGCCAATTTCAGCAAAAAAAATAATGATAGTAAAAGGATAATAACCCCTGGCATAGGGTAAGAATCTCTAAGTCTACATCACAATGAATAAATAAATGATTGAATAGGTAACAAAGGGAAGCTCTTCCTTACAATTCAGAAACAACTAGTAAATGTAGAAGGAATGATGGAATTAGAACATTGTTGTTTGCCAACTAGTACAATGATAATTGATTCAGGCAAGAATTATTAACAAATACTAAAAACTAGTGAGTGAAAATTTGAGTAACAGAGTATTTGCACAGTCTCAAAGTATATCATCTTAAGGTACTTTTTAATTCTGGAGGTTAAAGTAGTGACTTACAATGGGGAAACCTGGCAAATAGGATCTTAACCAAATGAACATAGTTAACATTGCCATTAATTGGACCATGTGCCTTCTGATATGATACACTGAAAAGAACTCAGCATCAGGGCTATTACATTCCTGTCCAAAGCAAATAACTTGAATCTAATCATTAGGAAACATGAGATAACTCCAAATTGAGGGTATTCTACAAAATAACTGTACTGTTTTTATAAATGCCAGTGTCATGAAATGCAAAGGAAAACTCAGGTACTTTTTCAGATTAAAAGAGACAAAAAGAACATGACAATACTATGCCTCACATAATTTTGTCTTTTCTTTTCTATAGAGGATATTATAGGAACAATTGGCAAAATCTCAATAAAATGTATAGATTAGGTAATAGTATTGGTTCAATATTTAGTTTCCTAATTTTAAAATTGTTTTACTATGATTGGGTAAGGGCATTCCTTTTTTTAGGAAGTTTACACTAAAGTATTTTGGGGAATAAGGGTATATGTAACAATTTTATCAATTAACAAAACAAAATATGTGTGTATACCTAGAGAGAGAGCTAACACAAATGTAGCAAAATGTTAACATTTGGGGAATCTGGGTGAAGGGTGTCCAGAAATTATTTATACTCTTCTTGCAACTTTTCTGTAAATCTGAATTCTGTAAAAAAAAATGAAATCAAACAACAAATATTAGTCCAGACTTCACCACTTAACCACTCTGTGTCTTTACATTAAAATCTCTATTTTTCACTTTCCCATCTGTAAAATGATGATAGTAAAAGGACCTATATTACATTATTGGTATAAGTATTACATTAGTATGTGTAATGCTCTTAGAACATTGACTGGCACATAGGAGCACTGCATATAAGTGTTTGTTGCTATGTCTTCATGCTCTTCCCTTTAAAACTAAAATTTTTGAAAGAATTATCTGAAAAGAATTTTGTTCCCTTACTTCAGATTTAATCCTTAACCCATCCTGGTCTGATTATGACTCCCTAGCACTTCATTAATTATGCCTTTTCCAAGGTTGCTATCTCCTTCTTAATAAATCCTGTGGTTACTTTTCTGTCTATATCTTCCTTGATCTTTTCTTAACATTTGATTTCACTAACCACTTCTTCTCTTTGAAATGTTCTCTCCTCACGACTTCTGTGATTCCACATTCCCCTAGTTTTTCTTCAAACTCTTCAACCATATCTACTCCATTTTGTTTGCCTTTTGCTATGCCTGTCCATTGAGGGTTGGTTAAAGTTTTTCCAAGTAATATTCTATAGCAAATATAGTTGTAGTTTAGGGGGGAGTGTATTATTTTTCTTTGAAGAAGGGGTAATCTATACTCTGAATCTCTTCAGAGGGATCATATTTGTGTAGTCTAAGGTAATAGATCACAAGGTTTAGAGCTCACCAGTCAAGACCAATGTTAAATATCCCTGGTGGCAAAAATTTCTTTCCTTTAGGGCATTATTAAAGCTTGCTAGACACTTATACATTTATCTTACAGCTAGGAATGATAAGACTCACAGAAGTCACTCAGCATCTGAACTTCTATCACATCTCACCAGACAGTTACTTGGTCTTCATATCTACTCTTTTTTTTTTTTTTTTTTTTTAAGAGACAGAGTCTCACTCTGTCACCCAGGCTGGAGTACAGTGACAGCATTGTAGCTCACTGCAACCTCAAATTCCTGGGCTCAAGTGATCCTCCTATTTCAGCCTCCCGAGTAGCTGGGGCTATAGGAATCTGCCACCATGCCTGGCTAATTTTTTTTTTTTATTGCAGTGACAGGGGTCTTGCCATGTTGCTTAGGTTGGTTTCAAACTCCTGGCCTCAAGTGATTCTCCTGCCTCGGTCTCCTAAAGATCTAGGATTACAGGCATGAGCCACCATGCCCAGCCCATATCTACTGTTATTGTTGATTCTGATAATCAAAACCAGGACTTTTCACAAAGATTACATATGAGAAATCGAACCGAAAGTGATTTGAAAGCCAGATGACTTAGATTCAAATTTAGGCTCTACCTTTTACTAGTTTTGTGAACTTAAGCAAGTTAATTGACTTCTCCACCCTCCAGTTTTTGTATCCTTATAATGGAGACAATAGTACCAAAAACTTCACAGCTCTGTGGTGAGAAATAAGTGAGTAAAAGCATGTGAAGCACTTAGAACAGAGTTTAGTGTAAGCTGTTATCAAGGTTATATTTAATGTTTTTGAAGAAGACAAACTATGATAAGGTTTAAATTTTATAAGCTTTCTTGTTGCCCCTTTTATATTTTCCTTACTTATTTGACATAACTCCTATGGTGCATATCATTTGCCAGGCACTATTCTAAGCATCCTAAACATATTAATCATTGATTATAATAACAACCCTGCAAGATGGGTTCTATTAGCTTTCCTGTTTTATATATGAGAAAACTGAGGCACAAAGAGGCTAAGTAAGTTACTCAAGGTCACATAGGTCTGCTTTCTTAACCAATATATTATATCTCATTTCCATTTATAATCTATCTTTTAAATATTTTTTACTTTATTTTTAATAGACAAATAATTATGTAAATTTTTGGAGTCATCTCTTATCTGTATTCATTTCACATGTCTACTCACTTACCTGGCCAGGATTTTATTATTGTCATTTCCTTTTGCTTCCCCCAAGTCATTGACAAATTGAGACATCGTCTGAGTCTGCCCCAGTGTAGAACAGATGTTTGACATTATTTTCAATAATATGTTAATGGGAAATGAGAGGGTAAACTTTTTTCCTCAAGTCCACGGAGATGGACATCTAGCATTCCTATCCTCCAAGCATCAAATTTCAGTAATATCTTTAGTGATTGTAACAACCACAAATATTCCTACACATATTTAAATACTGCCTATGGAAGTGATACAACCCCCAGTAAGAACCACTTTTCTAACCAATAACTGATGAACGAACACAGAGAACTCTAGATGGGGGAAGACAAAGAATAGAGATACATAAGTTTATGTATATATTTATACATATAACTAAATATCTAATGATAGATTAGGAATGTCTAACGAAAGTGCTAAATGAGAACTCTTGAAAGAGAAGGGAGCATAATATGAAGAAAATTCTAATAATCTAGAACTAAAAGTGTTAAATAACAGGAAAACCTAAGGATAGGATGAGATGGAGGTCAGAAGAGAAGGATTTTGAAGGTCTCATGAGAGGAAGAGAGTGGATGTAGTGAAGTTATTATAATATTTTTGTCTTGTGTTAAAAAAGTAGTAAGGTGAAAATAGATTATCTTAGGGTGAAAACAGTGAGGTTTTGTGGGGGAAATAGTTGATATCTTGTTTACAAGTAATGGTAGAGAAGTGTGTGTCTGTAAGATGGAAATAGGAATATGAAATTCTGTATTCCTAAACTTGTGCAAAA